GCATGCATGGATGAACGTATGAGGAAAGGATATCACACCAAGATAGATTTCTCCGTGTGAGGAGACATTCCAGAACACAACTCACAAAAAGTTAAGACGTAGCATGCGAAGGGGGGATTTCGATGGGAAGAAGATGTTGTGAGCTTTATAGGAGATAGAGTGGTAGATTTGAGGTAAACATGATATTTGGATTTTAATCGGGCACAATGATGAAAAAGGATCTATGTAGCTAACCCCACATAGTGGGACAAAGGCTTGATGTTGTTGTTTTTGTATCGTATTTGGGTGATATAACTATAATATTAATATTTGGGGTGTTAAATATATAAAATAATAGTAATACAGTGGTATGCATGTAAATCTCTCTTTTTTTAATCATCAAAACATGAGGTAAAGCTCCTGGATTATAACACTTTCAATGATATTTTTCTTTATTTTGGCTCTCTGATAAAAATAGAATAAATTCTTTCCAAATAGATCTTGAGCAAGTTTTTTTCTAGTACTAAACCATTTATAACCTATTGGAAAAATGGGTTATATTGGGTTTCTTTCTAAATAGATCTTGGAGAATTTTTTATTATATACTGGTTATGATATAACTTATTGGGAAAATATGTTTTATTGGGTTGGATCATTACAGTTATCTCTAAATCACACTGAGAAAAATTTAAATGGCTCACCATCAAAACATATAATAGAAAAAATAAGTCATTCACCAACACACACATAACTTAGCCTTCATATGAGGACAAATAAGAACAACAAATTAAAGGAGGTAACTGATGCTCATTATAAAAGTACCTGGGAAATAAAAAATTTTATTACTTAAATTATCCTTACATCAGATTATATTTTTTACACAAAAAGGTGCATGGACAATCTAATTCACCCCAAAAAAACATTTTGCATACATGATATGACATCATTTATGGAGGGATCATCATTTTTCTTACTAAGTATTACAAGAAGAAGCATCTCCTAACAATGAACTGACTAGACCTCTTCACCTCGATGAGATAATAAATTGACAGCAACTTAACTCGAAGTTGTGCTAACTCTTTATGAAACTTAGAGACTATGTATATTGCTTCAATCACCCTTTATGAAGCCCCAGGTCCCCACTGAGCATGACTTATAACACTTATTAGGATCTAAGAGTTTTAACCAACATGGTTATGTCGCCCTAAAGGGGAACTCACTTAAAGAGAAAATGATCTCATAAAAAGTTGGTTAACACAAGTTCATAGAACTAAAGTCAATCCCCATTAGAAGGCATCATGGAATAGAGACTCATCAAGGATAATTTGAGCCCTAAGATCCACTTTCCTCTAAAGGAACCGTTCATTCAGAAGAACTACTCATAATTAAAACTAATCTAGCTACATCTTAAAGGTATATTATCATAATTTCTCATTCACAATCAGTCCTCTTTTCATAGTCATTAATCTCTAAGGTGAATCACCCCTCATGTATAGAGGCTTGTACCCTTACAAACTTGCCCCTATTTTAGAGGACTCGCCTTCATAAACTTTGATGGAACATTAAATCTTGAAAAATCACACAAGTCTCTTGCCTTTGATTATTTGGTTAGGGAACTCACCTGAGAATATGGAGCCATTTCAGAGGTAGGGATCAAATAAGATATACTACAGGAAAATCACCCATTTCCGGCATCCTTTTCCGGCGGTAATTGAACCTTTTCCGGCGGTTTTGTAGTTTTCCGGCGGTTTTCCGGCGGTTTAATTACCGCCGGTAAAAACGGCGTAGGAAAATGAATTCCGGCGGTTTTTTCCGGCGGCAATTTTGTCCGGCGGCTTACCGGCGGTCTTGAACCGCCGGTCAAAAAGAAAAAAAAAATACTGCTCCGGCAGCCCGCATTATTTTCATATGTATTCTTCGATATAGCCCTCTAAACCATATAAATAAGAGTGTAGACGTATTTTTCATTCCTTTAATTCATATTCATAGTTAGAGATATAGTAGAGGCTATTGGGGCATGGGCCCCCATTGTCACATAAGGAAATAATAATAATAACATTGCATAATATTTTTACAATTAATAACATAGCATATTTTTTCTTTTTAACCAAGAAATAAATTCAATCAACCAAAAAATCTCCTATCACAATAATCACCAACCTAAACCAAGTTACATAACGTAAATATGCAATAAGTAATGCACATAAAATCAAGTGTGAAAAGTAAAGGAATAAATACACCATAATTTTATATTGGTTCAATTAACTTAAGCTATGTCCACTTCATAGAATCCTCCTATCTAGGTATTGCTCTAAACATTTTAGTGACTCTCCTTTAGGCCCCTTAGTAAGGTAGAGAAGTTCTCATAAAATAAGTTCCACCCTCAGGGTGATTAAGAATCAAAATCATTTTCACCTTCCTTATTGTTGTGGAGTAACTAAATCCCTTTCACCTTCTCCAGTGCAGCAGAGTAGCTGAATCCCTTTCATCTCCCATGATGTGGTGGAGTAGTCAAATCTTTTTCACCTTCTAAGTGTGGTAGAGTAGCTGGAATCCCTTTGATACTAAGAGCTTCTTCACAGAGTTTCCCTTAAGAAAGACTTTGACACATAGGGGAATAAGGTGGATGTTGGCTAGGGCAACCATGTGAAAACATCCTCTCACACTCCCTTGCACACAGAAGGTTCTTCTCCCTCTCTCACACTCCCTTGCTTGCATCTTTAGTTTTTCTTCATGTTTGTTATTACTTGAAAGGTTAGTTGTGCATAAAGAAAATATCCAAAATATTATGCAGGAATAAAAAGATAATCATTCAATAAAAATTTTAATCATCAAAACCCAAGATCGGGCTCTCAGATTGTAACACTTTACAAGATATTTTTACTTTATTTTGGATTTATGATAAAAATAGATGAAATTCTTTTCGAATATATCTTAGGCAGGTTTTTTCTAATACTCGACCATGTATATCCTATTGGGAAAATGAGTTATATTTGGTTTCTTTCCAAATAGATCTTGGACAATTTTTTACCTCATATTGAATCTAGTATAAACTATTGGGAAAACATGTTTTATTGGGTTGGGTCATGAAAATTATATCTAAATCACACAGAGAAAAGTTTAAAAGGGCTCACCATAAAAAACAATAATAGAAAAAATAAGTCATTTACTAACACACTCATAACTAAGAAGTCTTCATATGAGGACAAACAAGAACAACAAATTAAAGGAGGTATAACTAATGCTCATCATAAGAGTACTTGGGAAATTAAAATTTTTATTACTTATCGTTACGTCCTTCTTAGAAGGCATCATGGCATAAAGACTCATCAAGGATAATTTCTTCCCTAAGATCCACTTGCCTCTATAGAGATTATTCATCCAAAATAACTACCCATAATCAAAACGTGCAAGTCGGGTAGAATTCTGGCATCCCTTGGAAGTCGGGCAGAATTCCGATGTCTCTTAAAAGTCTGGCATAATTCTGGCATCACTTGGGCGTCGGACAGAATTTCGACAGTGGCCGATGAGTTTCTTCTCTCCTATCCTTCTCTCTTCTTCTTCTTCTCTTATTCTTCTTGCTTGGGTCCCCTCTCAAGAGAAATGGGAGGCAATTTATAAATTTTTGAGGATGGCATGACCCGTAAATAGGAGGATCAAGGAAAAATGTGGTGGTTCGGATGGACAAACGATATTGAGTTCCTTGATCGTGGGCCATTTGTCAGATATTTGACGGTCTTGACGATATCGAAATTCAGTGATCTTGGGCTCGTTGGATTCATCTCATCGAACCACTCAATTCGACTATAAGCATGTCATGTTTGGAAACCATTTGATAACCCAAATTGTGGTTCGAACTTTCAAAACGTGCTTCGGGTCTTCGATTTGGACCCATTTGGGCTCGGATCGAGTTAAATTTGGTGTCGTTAGGTTTATATTTCCGAGACAATCAATTCAACTATAAATTTGCTAAAATCCGAGTTCAAATAATCCCAAATTTAATTTTTGAAGTTTCCCACTTGATTTTTACCTTGAGATTCATGCTCGATCAAGATAATTTTTTGATATCATATCAGACATCATACATAAAACATTTAAATTTAAATAAATATGAATGTTAAAAATTAGAAGCTGATCATTGTTGGACCAAATGTCCATATCAAATTTCTAATATAATACCTCTAACAATTTCTTGTGTTCAATAAAGAATATTAGGATAAGCTAAAGCTTTTAATTTATGCAGCCGAAGTGAGTTTTCAATTCGCGGTTTAATGGGTCAATTAATTAAAAAAAAAACTGAATGACATATTTACAAATAAAAATATAAATATGAGATTAAAATTATCAGAATTAATTTAAAGAATAAATAAATATTCAAAAGTAAACAGTTGAAGTACCACGAATAATTTTTATAATAGTAGTACAGAGATTAATGTCGAGCTGAGTATATTTGAAGGATGCATTTCCATTTGACCATCTTCAGTATCCGATTGTTCCATTTAGACTTAGAATCGTCAACATTGCAACAGAATATCAAGAAGTCTTTGCTTAAATATCACTACAAATAATGAATAGCGACAGACACCAGTCCGTCACATATCAACTAAAAGCATAAAGATAGCTACTGTACAATGGTCTCTTTGCCATCATAGTCCAACAAGTGATAAAATATTCTTTACTTTTTCTTATAAAATGAGAAATGCTAGTTCAAAAAATAATGGTCCAATTATGATACTCACCGCTAAAAAAAAAATTAGGCTTTGTTTGAAATGATTTTATTACTGCTTAAAACAATTTTTTTAGTACAAAATTAAAAAATTTTAATAAAAAAAAATTATTTTAAGAAACAGTAAGATAGCCGTCCCAAACGAAACCTTAAATTCATGAAATATCATAAGCCACTCTTTAGTCCCTCTACCAACCTAAACAGTGCAACCAACTATATCGCAAACTCTACGTTTTATATAATGAAAAGCTCCAAATAGATCAATTTAAAGTTATAACTAAAGTTTCACAACAAATTATATCACAAACTCTGCATTTTATAGAATGAAAAGTTCCAAATGGATGAATGTAATAAATAACTACAGTTATACATGATTCAAAGAAAATCACCTGACTTTCAAAATAAAATAAAATAAAATACAATTTACTTACCAAACCTCAACAAGCTAATGACAGAATCAGTGGAAATACAGGCAAAAACATCCCACCGAAACATACAAGAGCATATAACAATAGGGGTATAATCACATAAGAGGAAAAAACTCTGATCAGCAAAGCCCTGCTGATCAAAATAAATCATGCCAGAAAACATCGGCCTGCTTTCGTCTTGGGTATACAGCAGTCAACTACTATTTTTTCACCATAGCATAGTATGAGAGCCCTTCAACAATACCAGGCATGAATTATGATTGACGCAACAATAGCAGCCATGAATGATGATTTCTGGAATTGTGAAGCCACTATATGGATCACTTCCAATCAAACATCGGTTGCTACTTTTAACCAATGCTGATGCAACATGGTAGGCAATGAAAATCAGATAATGGGAAGCATAAGTGACCACCTCTACACTTGGTATCTTGATAACCTTTGTGCCACAAGAGGCTCTAATTTGGTGCGGAACTGTTCCCATGCTTCACTTCCAAGCATCTATAACCAATTTGCATTGAACAAAGGTTAAGCAACAATCAAGTTTTATTCCTTCAGTCATAACGGACCTTGGTATAAAAGATCAGGAATACCTGTTTATATCCATTTAAAACTTGGGACACTTCATTGATTAAATCCTTGCTCCGTATTTCCTGAAAGGATATATATGAAATTAAATTGAACTGACTTGTATTATATCAAAACTTTAGAGTCAAATTTCAACGATCCAATCTTACATGCCAACTAGCAATCGCCCTGCACATGTAAGCTAGCGAGTTCACAGCACCAGAGGGATTCGTTCTCACCTATGGAATTGATATTAAAAAGTGAAGGAACAAGTTTAGTATTGCAAAAAAAACAAAAAAACAAGTTCAGTATTGCCAAAACAAGAAAAAAATGGAATTACCATTGCACAAAGACCTCGGAATGCATCTTCTTTTTCAAAATCATCCCGTATCCTGGATAAAAGAAAGAACCAAGTTCCTTGTCAGGAAAATTAAACATCAAAATACCCTAAACTCAAAACCTAATTATTTTGCATTAATCATGCCAGATATTTCTTAATATCGAAAGCCTGAATGGTGGAATGAGTAGAATACGAAGAATGAACAGGCAAAAAGTTTTATGCTTCTCGGTAACCGAGTCAAGCAAGTTAAAACATCCACACATATTGAATGGGGTTAGAAAACACATGCATGTACAATGATAAAACAAGCCACTAAAAATCATAATAAGTTCTAGCTAGCCATATATTTTGAGATAACATCCAAAAACTAAGTGCCAACAACAGATCACAACATAGCTAATGCCATGCCATCACAATAAGAGCATAGCGCAGTAAGGTTCAAATTGCAGAAGCACCGCACTTTTGCTCATAAAATACACGTCAACAATTGAAAATTGTGTGAAAAAACTAAAGCAATTGAAATGGCACAACATAGAGAGTTAATATGCTTGTTACCAGCATGACTGCCAGCATGCCATCAAAGCTAATAATTTTAAATAGCACCGATGGATTCAACCATAAAATTTGCATAGCCGCAGCTTTCAATAGCATGGTATTAATAGGGAACAAAGCCTTGCCAAACCTGGCCTTTAGGGGTTGTTTGGTAGCAGATTTAGGCAAGATTTAAGCTAAATCATGTAAAACGGTACAAAGAATTTTAAATACAATAAAATCTTAAACCTGGTTTCTCTTGTTTTTTTTGGCTTTAAATCTTGAAGTTAGCATATCTGGCATTATTCAACTTTAACTTAGCAAGTCTAGCAAACTCTTATATTGTCGGTACCTTCAATCCCTTCTCTAGTATGCTTTCATCATGACTTCCCAAATTCTTTATAAACGAGGGTTTCAAGAATTTGGGAGGTAAGGATTTAGGAGAGACACAAGGGTTTCAAGTTTTAAAATTATTAATATAACCTGGTATTAATTAAATAATAAATAAAATTTTAAATTGAACTTAATGATAATAAGTTAACTAAAAAGATAACAATTTAAACAAATTAATATAATTTGTGATTTAATTTGATTAAGTAGAATTTATTATGTTTAATTAGTTTTATAAAATATTAACTAATGGTTAATTATGATATTAATATCAAATAATCAAAATTTAATTAATAAAATTACAATTGATAAAATATTATTTAAATTATTAATATAAATAACAACAACAACAACATCAAGCCTTTGTCCCACTACGTGGGGTCGGCTACATAAATACTTTTTCTTTCTTGTGTACTGTTAAAAGTCAAATTCTCATTTAAATCTAATAAAGAAAGATCATTTCTAATATTCTCTAACTAAGTCATTTTAGGTCTACCTCTACCTTTCTTAACATAAGTCAAATCTAATACCTCTACTTTCCGAATCGGGTCATCGGAAGGCCACCGTTTTATATGATCAAACCATCTAATGGGAGCATACACATCGGCACCATAAAGCATTGCAGGACTCACCACCATCTCATAGAATTTTCCCTTAAGTTTGAGGGGCACTTTCTATTACACAAGTCTGATGCTTTCCTCCACTTCAACCATCCAACTTGAATTCTGTTGATAATATCCCCATCTATTTCACCATCACTCTGAACAATAGATCCAAGATATCTAAAACGTGTACTCTTATTAATGACTTGATTGCCCAAAGTCACAATCCCCTCACTAGGTTTATTACTACTAAAATTACACTCCATATATTCAATTTAAGATCTACTCAAGAGAAAACCTTTAGACTCTAAGATTGACCTCCATAATTCAATTTTATCTTCAACTCTCTCTCTAGTCTTATCAACAAGAAGAAAAATCAATAGCAAAAAGCATACACTAAGCTACATCCTCTTGCAAATGTCTAGTGAGAATATCCTTGACTAAAGCAAAAAAGATATGGACTTAAGGTTCATCCTTGATGTACTCCAACTGAAAAAGGAAAATACATGGTCAAACCACCTTCTGTTTGAACACAAGTAATAACTCCTGCATACATATTTTTAATGATTTGAATATAAGCATTATTAACTCCTTTCTTTCAAGAACTCTCCATAGCACTTCTCTTGGAAGTTTATCATATGCTCACTCTAAATCAATAAATATCATATGTAGATCTGCCTTATTCTCTCTATATTTCTCCATCAAATTTCTCAATAAATGTATGACTTCCATAGTAGACCTATTTGGCATGAATCCAATTTGATTTTGAGAAACATTAGTATCATGCCGTAACCTACGCTCCATAACTCACTCCCATAGTTTTAAAGTATGACATGTTAATTTGAGAGGTACGAGAGGGAAAAAGCTTGTCTTTATTCATTACAATCTTCCCTATTTATAGATCTATACAAGATATCTAAATGCGGAAATAAAGATTACAGATTTAATACTTAAAAATCTTTCCTAAATTTGTTCCTTCATTATGGCGTGATCAATGAGAGCATCCCACGGATTGATCTTTGTGTCCGTTGGATCCTTTGCACAGGGAACGACTGGATTTCAACACTCCCCCTCAAGCTGGGAAATATGAATTTGTCATTCCCACCTTGTCAATCATTATGGGAAAGGCAGAACCGTCCAATCCTTTGGTAAGGATATTTGCAAGTTGATCCTTTGATGGTACATGCTCGACACTTACTAGACCACTGTCTAGTTTTTATTTAATGAAATGTCTATCCACTTCTATGTGCTTGATCTTGTCATGCTGGACTGGACTATGGGCTATGCTGATTGCTGATCTGTTGTCACAATGTAGCTTTATGGGCTCATCCCACTTGACCTTTAAGTCTTCTAGGATTATTTTGATCCATAGTAGCTCACATATTCCCAAGGCCATAGCTCGATATTTTGATTCTGCACTGGATCTTGCCACCACTTTATGTTTCTTGCTTCTCCATGTAATTAAGTTACCTCCAAGAAATGTGCAATATCCAGAGGTATATCTTCTATCAACCGGTGATCCTGCATAGTCGGCATCCGTGTATACTTCTAGGATTATTCCACGATCTCTCTTAAAGAGAATCCTTTTTTCCTCATTTTCCTTTAAGGTAGTGCAATATCCTGTCTACCGCTTGCATGTGAATCTGCTTTGGATTCTGCATAAACTGACTGACCATGCTTACAGCAAATGCTATGTCTGGTCTAGTGTGGGAGAGATAGATCAATTTCCCTACAAGTCTCTGGTAGGCCCCTTTATCTACATATGGATCTTCTCTAGCTTCTCCCAGTTTAAGATTAAGTTCTACTGGAGTCGGTGCTGGTTTACAAGCTAGTTTACCTGTTTCTTTTAGAAGATTTTTGATGTATTTCTGTTGTGAAATGAAGATTCCTTTTCTGGAGTGAGCTACTTCAATTCCGAGAAAGTATTTTAGTATACCAAATTCTTTGATGTCAAATTCCTTAGTAAGACTTTTCCTTAAACTAATTTTTTCCTCTTCATTATCTCCAATCAAAATAATATCATCAACATACACTAATAATATTATGACTCCCCCTGAGTCTGAGTGTTTAAAGAATAATATATGATCCCCTTGACTCTGCCGATACCCATTAAGGAGCGTGAATTTAGAGAATCTTCCGAACCAGGCTCTTGGTGATTGTTTGAGCCCATATAAAGCCTTTTTTAGCCTGCACACCCTATTGCCTTCAGATTTTTCTTTAAACCCTGGTGGTATTTTCATATCTCTTCTTCTAAATCCTCATGCAGGAATGCATTCTTCACATTCAATTGCTCCAGATGCCAGTTGTACTTGGCTGCTAGTGAGAGTAGTATTCTGACAGTAATCATCTTGGCTATAGGTGCAAAAGTTTCTTGGTAGTCAATGCCATATATTTGAGTGAACCCTTTTGCAACCAGTCTTACCTTATATCTCTCTAGTGTGCCATCAGCTTTGTATTTTACTGAGAACACCCATTTGCAGCCAACCGGTTTTTTCCCTATCGGTAGATTGACGATCTCTCATGTTTTGTTCTTTTCTAGGGCCTGTATTTTATCTTTCATGGCATTTTTCCAATTCTTATCAGATAAGGCCTCAGAAATATCTTTAAGAATATGGATATCTTCTAATGAAACCAATAAATTTTTGTGTGACGATGTGAAGTTGTTGAAGGATATAAAGTGTTATATAGGGCATAAGGGAGTTGGTGAGCTTACCTTATTTCCAGATGATGGTTCAGATTCTTGGATCTGCTTTGGAGCACAGCTTGAACTTGTACGTCTGGAGTAAACCTTTCCAAATCTAATGATAGCTTTTCCATTTGTTTCCTTATCTTGGGTTTCAGGTGGATTGGTTTGAGGTGGTGGAGGAAGGTCAAGAGATGCTAGTTCATTTTCCACATCTTCCTTAAGTTCAGTCTCCCCCTGAAGATGAGATTTTGAAAAATAGGAATTTTGCTCATCAAAGGTAACATCGATAGAGACAAGAATTTTTCTTTTGGGTGGATGATAACACTTATAACCTTTTTGGATAGCTAAATAGCCAACAAAGATGCATTTAAGTGCTCATGGATCTAATTTTCCTCCCCTGGCTGTAAATATGAACATAGGCAATGCATCCAAAGATTTTGGGCGTAGGATTATGATGGGTTCAAAACTCGAGGTAAAAAAGAGGACAAAGTCTCCATTGGAGTTTTGAGTCCTAAGGCTATTGAAGGTAGTCGGTTTATGAGATAAGCTGCCGTTAAAAGAGCTTCCCCCTAATAGAATTTGGGTGTATTGTAGTGAAATAGGAAAGCTCGGGTGGAGGCTAGAAGGTGACCATTTTTCCTCTCTGCAACCCCATTTTGTTGTGGGGTGGAACACAGGAGGAGTAATGGATGATCCCTTCACTCTGGAAGTAGAAGGAAAGGGTTTGGTTGAAATAATCTTTGACATTATTGGAGCAGAATCTCCTTATTTTTACCCCGAATTAATTTTTGATAATGGAATGAAAGATGGGAACAATGGTGCTAACATCAGATTTATTTTTAA